ACTTTGTTAATGATGCAAATTTAATTTAGTTGTATATATTATTTTTCTTAAATGAAAAATTGTAAGCATAAGTGCTAGCACCTTCTAAGTACTTCTGTACTTACTTAAAATACAAGTTATATCCACAGGACTAACCCGCCCAACAAGTGTGGTATCAATAAAATCACACTCTTTTTTTTTCTTTAATGAGCCAGAGTCTTGCTCTGTCACCCAGGCTGAAGTGCAGTGGTGCAATCTCTGCTCACTGCAACCTCCACCTCCCGGCTTCATGTGATTCTCATGCCTTAGCCTCCCCAATAGCTGGGATTGCAGGTGTGATCACCACTCCTGGTTAATACTTTTTTGTATTTTAGTAGAAATGGGGTTTCACCATGTTGGCCAGGCTGGTCTTGAACTCCTGATCTCAAATGATCCACCCGTCTCAGCCTCCCACAGTGCTGGAATTACAGGTGTGAGCCACCCATTTGGAAATGCATTAGATAAATAGATTACAAAAGAATTCTTAACTTCCAAGTGCACACCTTATACACAGATGAGAGGAATTTAAATTCTGGTCGTTCAAGGCAAACTTGAAGTCCTTCTTCCAAAATTTTCCTAAAACATTTGCAAAACCTTTAAACCTACTTTGCAAACTTAAAAATTTATAAAAACACTGAGATTCATTCATTTGGGTTTGATCTTATCCAATGTTTTTCTCCTTTGCTTTCAGTTGGAGCAAGAAGAGAAAATGAATTTTACCAATAATTAACTGTATACTAGTTGTTGCTTTCCAATTATAATATCCTCTCCTTTTACCTTATTTACTTGCCATTAACAGCACTATATCTGACTTGGTCTCATAAACTGCTATGCACACACACACACACACACACAAACACACACACATGAATTTTGCATATATGTGCATATATGTACTTAAAATATGTATTTTATACATATAAAATTATATGTAATATGTATTCAACATTCTGCGCCTACATACGCACAGACAGCATGCAAAGGGAAGGATTGCCTGGTTTTCAGGTTATTCTGTTTTTTAAAAACAACGCATCGCTTTTTATACCTCCATTTCTAACCAGCAACTTACTCTCAAAACTTTCTCCTAAGTGCGCCCTTTCTTGTATGAAATACTGGTTATGCACCCAGTGTCTGAAGCCAGACTATCTGGGTTGCAATCCTGGCTTACTTTTCTTTATCTGGATAACCTCAGGAAGCAGCTTGACTTCACTGTGCATCAGTTTCCTCATCCATAACATGGAGACCACACGGCATCCAGTTCGTAGGATTGCTGTGAGGATTTAATGAGTTCATACGCATAACAAGTTTAGAACAGTGCCTACCGCATAAGAAGCAGCAAACAACAAGATGTTACTATTATTGTTGCCGTTGGTTTAGTTAATACCATGTGTCTACAACTAAACTACTTTCTTTGTTAAAGATTTTCCAAGTACATCTCTCTTCCCCTTTATCTCCACCATTTTTCACTAACAGAGAACAAGGGTTTGATTACTGTTATTTTCCACAAATACTTCTACCAAGCAAAGTTCTCAACACGGTTATAGGGAGCACTGCCCAACAGAACTCTCTTTGCTGGAGGAAATATTCCACATCTGTAGTGTTCAATACAGTCACCAGCCACATGTAGTTCGTGAGCACTTGACGTTTGACTAAAGAGTGGAATATCTCATTAAATTTAATTTTAATTTTAATTAAAAGTGCTACAAGGGCTGATGGTTATCATATTAAACAACACCGTTATGGAGGATCTTGCAGTCACAGCAAGACGAATATGTGGCTCTGCCCCTTACCAACTCTGTGACATCTCACTTCCCAGAGCCTCAGTTTCTTAATATGTAAAACAGAAAGAATAATACCTACCACCCAGGAAAAATGCAATCATTATAAAGAGCCTAGTTTAGTGCAATTTCTATTAGTTTTCCCATCTCCCTACCCTCTGTTAAACTGGTATTATTTAGTCAGAGTGGCTCTTAGAACAGCCAGGCACAGAGCAGAAAGATCCACCTTTTGGCTGTTTTTAGATTTCAAAATTAAAAGCAGTCGCCTCTCCAGGTTTTCACCTGCTCCACCATAACTTTCAGTCTTGAGTGGAAATGTGATGTTGCTTTTTGTCAGGGGTCCCTGAAAATGTCTGAGCATCTCTCAAACAGCAAGGAACTAAGAGAATCCTCAGGACACCCTCACATTCAGAGCTGCCTGTGGGGTCCCCAGCAGCTGTGGTCATGGAGCACTCATCTGCACAAGCTCCCCCAGATGGTACACTACGATCCAGCAGCCTCTGGTTGCCTGAGAGCCTGTGTTCCAATCACCTTGTGATCTGGCATCAATATCTTCATTATGGAACCCATCTCAAAAGATCAGCGGGCTTCCAGGAGATCCTCTTTACATAGAAAACTCCTTGCAATTACATTTTTTAAAAGTAGTAAAAGAAATTTTCATGTATCGTGGAAAGAGAAGTGCCGTCTCTCCCAACGTCTTCAAGGACATGGTCATATGGGTCCGGGAGACACAACTTCAGGACAAATGTGAGCAGAAAACCACAATCCAGGTCTGCTGTGAAAAGCTTTAGGAGCACAGACTGAAGCATTAGCACTCCTAGAACTGGAACTCCATTTCAGAAGGACAGAACAGGGTCTAACCTACTTCATCAGCTGCCTCAGTCCTTTTCTAAAGTTTTATCCTCTCTGGTGGGAAAACCTTTTACTATCAAACCTTCTCCTTCTCCTTTAAAAATGTCAGCCAAACTAGCCTTTTACCAGGTCCTGAGCATAAAGACTTTCTGGCTGTCTACAACTGTATCAGAACGATACGTCATGGTTATACCAAAAATAGGAAGAACCACACATCCACCTAACCATTATAACCTGTATGCCCAATGAATTGGGGGTTAAGGGACTGCATGGGTGAGAAGTGCTGATTTCATCCAACTCTGCGATCATCTATCCTTAAAGAAAAAAAAATGTTCGAATTATGTGAGGTAGCATGGTGCTGTGGCAAGGCAGTGGTTTGTTGTCATGAGACCCACTCCTTGTCACCCAGTGACTTTACTTGGGATCTGGGTCTGGTTGCTTGACTTTTTAAGCCTCTGGGTCTGTAATACATGAATAACAGTACTTTATTTTGAGGATTGTAAGGATTAATTAGACAATGTTGGAGTGCTTAGCACAATAACGACTATGGGTTGATAGTCAACTAAGATTTAATTTCTTCACTCCTTAGATATTTTGAAATGTTATTATGATCATTCAGTTTAGTTTCCACAGCTAGCCCAGTCTATCCAAAGGTATTCACTTTACCTTTTATCCAGATTTCAAAAATGGGTTAATTATATATTAAGCTGGGATATCCATGTCGGCGAACTTTAAGATTTGGGATTTAGCGGTCCTAAGCAGGTAATAAGGATTCTGTTTTTCCCTGATGCATAAATGAGAGGAGTAAAACATGCAAAATCCAGGCCTTGGGCGCCGTTTGCCAGGATTAACACAGTTTCTTCACGGAACTCCAGCCCCTCATTGTCGTTACTGCAGAGATCATCTCACTACGGGTTTTGATTACATCAACCCCATTCTCCTCCAGGGCCTGCTGAAGTGGACTGCAGATGAGGAACCAGACCCTTTTGAGCAGCTTTGGAGGCCTCCTCTGGGTCATGATCACATCTAAGGAAGGCCTCACTTCCCGTGTCTCCTCCCATGTCCCTTGACAGGCTCCTCTCACGCTGGCTTGACCAACATCTTATTCTCCACAAAACAAACCCTTGCATTTGCCTCAATTTTTAGGTGGAATAAAACATACAGTGGGAAGGACTGAAAAAAAAATGATTTTTCAGGCCCATTCCTACTCTGCACTTTTGCAATTTTAAAGTTATAAGATCCAAGCCTCTCAGCCATCACCTGTTCTCTCTCCCTTTGTAGCTCTTTTATTCCTTTCAACAAGTACCAAAATGGGAACACACACCCTCCCCTCGTCCCCATCCTATTTCCTCCACAAAGCTTTATCCAGAATGGAAAGTAAACTTCTTTAGTTTCTCAACTTAAAACTGTAATTAATGGAAAAAAAAAATCCCTCCTGATTTCTAGCTACTTAGCTTGGAGAACACCCAGACCCAGGGCTGAGCATGTCGCTAGCACTCCACAAATACCTGTTAATAGATTGACAATGTTAATATTATCATTCTTTTCACTTCACACACTTGTTCAGTGTGTTACCTGTTGTCTATTTATCCTCCGTGCCATCTTCCATTGTTGTTTTCTCTTAAACTACAAGCTGCAAAGTATAGAAGCCATGTTTCTTTGACTCAATGTGGATAATAGGCTGCAGAGAGATGCTTAAATGAGCTTTTCAATTGATTGATTAATACAGCGATTGATGGATGGATAGAGGAAAGGGTGAATGCATACAGCATTCTCCATGTGCTATTCCAACAGGCTAAATTTACCAAAAGGGCCTGGCTCTGCCTCTGCCCCCTGAACAAAGCGGCAGAGGTAGGTGAGTTAGAAGGTCAAGGAACAGCCATCCCTCCGGCACACAATAGAGGAGGATGTCTTGCAGAGGATACGGCTGCTTTGGCTAATTGCTGCAAAACATCTTTTGAAGCAAAGTGGCTATTTTCTATTATCTCTTGGTTATTTTTCCCAGGGTAATTTGTACTTTTTAAATTTAAAAAAGAAAGAAAAAAAATCCAGAGTCCTACATTTTTTAACCCCACACTTCCTAACTTCAAGTCACGTAAACTGCAGCTGATTCCCCTGCCGTTAATAATGTGTTTATTCACTTCGTTTCCTAGAGTAGTACACATTCCATCCACAGACTGCATAGGGTTTATAAGGTTTTTTTTATAGGTTCCTTAAACCGATAAAAAAAGAAAAAAGAGATAAGTAAAATATTTAATTCTTTAAATTGCCAGGTTTAATTTAGCATGCACGTTATTTGCAAGTGCAAATTAAGGATCTTGGGACTCAAAAAATTTCCTTTTTTTTTCCCCCTTTTGACCAAATTATTTTGACTAAAGAGAGGAGCAGGCAGGACTAGACACACAGGAGCAGAAGACAGACCACAGGGTTTTTAAGAATTCTGGCTGGAAATATGAAACCATGTCTCTGCTCATGTGTGTTACTTCCAATGCAACATGAAAGAGAACGAGTTTCTTCTGGAGATACGTCCCTGTGGGCATTCCCGGGCACTAAAAGTCTATTACCCTCTCTGCCACTCAAGAAAATGCAAACTAGAATATAGTCAGATGTATTTTTTAATTGTTCATTCATCCATCTGTTCCACAAATATGCATTGTTTCTTATGGGCCAGGTGTGTTGCTAGGTACTGCCGATACACAGGCGAAAAGATACAAACTCCCTGTTCTCATGAAGCTACGGTCACATTGTTTGCACCTTTGTTCGCAAATAGTTAATTAAGTGGACACAGCATACCTTGGTTGTTCTCATTTCTTCTCTTTGGATCCTTGGCACTGGTCTGTAGACTGTAGAAAGAAGAGACAGAAGCAGGATGTAAGCTAATGGAGGGATGTAACTCAATTCTCAGCAAACTCTCAAAGTCCACTGGGTAGGGAGGAACTGGCCACGATGGAGCCTGTGTCCATCCCTTTAGCACTGGGGCCATGACAGTAATGTGGCTCTGTAGTCACTCTAGAAATCGTCATTAACCATTCATGGTCAATGGAGACTCATGGCTCTTAGTCACAATATGCTATTGTAGAAGAATATTTCACAACAAGTTATGGTCAGGTTGTTAACTTTATAAAACAATTTATAAAATATTACCTGCAGTATGATACCATTTTGGTTAAAAGAAAAAGTGTCTCTGCCCAGAAAACGATAGCTAGAATATATGGCAACATGTTGGCAATGGAGGTAGTTCTGGTTAGGACTGTGGGTGCTGTGTGTGTACGTGTGAATGTGCTTGAACATGTATGCATATGCTTTTCAATGCTTTCTAAATTTTCTACAAGGAAAATGTACTAAAGTTTGTAATGATGGGGAAAAAACTTGTATCCCTCTCCCCAAAAATCTACATCAAATATGAGTGCAACAGAGGGTGGGCTCCTGGGAAAGAGGAGCCAGACGTCTATCCAGGCACCCTCCACTGGGGCTTAGGAGGTGGTATTACTTGGCCTGTCCACACTTGGAAGGAAAGCTCTGAAGTTTTTCTTGTCAAATTTTACTTGGACCTATTAGCCCACAGCAAGGCAGTAACCACAATCTTTCAAAACCCGCTATTAAGTGTAGTGTATGAGTGGTATTTCATCACCTATGAATAGTTGGTAATTTTTACAATAACACTTATTCTACCAAAATAAATTATACATTATCAAAAATGTCATTAACAGAAACTTATCACAATGCTATCAAACACATGACCTTTCAACAAGTAGGACATATACGTGACATACCTATGTCATATATATGTAGCATTTCTAAATCGGCCAAGGTATTGTCCCAACCTAAGACGTATTTATTAAAAAGAAAGAATGTGCTGAAACAAAAACAATGGCATCGCACATTTCCTCCCATTTTAGCTCATTTCTTCCACACTGAATCCCCAGTCGCTTTGCTTGGAGGAAATACAGACCACTCTCCAGTGAGGGGAAAATAAACGATCATGTAAACTCAGAATCCGCTTGTCACAAATTGGCAAATACAATTAATGGTTAGTTAACTGCAGAGACTTCAGTTCTGTCACTTTTCAATTTTCTGGTCAGCATTCCAAAAAAGAACCAACTCTAATTAGTAAAATAGTTCTTCAGGTCTTTACAGAGCCGATTCTCTACAAAGCTCTGGGGAAAGCATGGTTTTGTTTTGTTGTTTGTTTTAAAAGTTAATATAATTCCCTTTCTCCAATATGAGAGATAAGAGCAGCTGCATACTTAACCTACCTTCTAAGTAGAAAAAGTATTTTCAAAGATTACTATTTTAAGCACACCTCTAGGCGCACTGAGTTTCTGCTGCCATTAGGTAATCTGTGCTGAATGGTAAAAAGAGAATGTAAACTTCACAGACAAAAATCGGTGTTTGAAAGCTAAGATGAGATTTGCTTCACCCATGTGAATCATCTCGGGATAATAAAAGAATCTGATTGAGAAGATGATATGTGTAGCTAGCACGTAGTCAGAATTACAGATGTACATGTAGATGGTTAAAATTAATTACCAGTTCCATTTAGAAAAGAATCTCCTCTGGACAAAAGAGGTTTGAGTACATCTCCCTGTTCTTCACTCCTCTACCTTTGAGCTTTTGGGGGGCCAGAAATGCTAACCTTAATTAATAGAAGACCCACTAGACCCCAGGCAAGAGTTTGGGTCCCAGGCCCAGGTCTCCCCCTGCGCCTCTCCCGGGAGTAACGAGCAAGCCGGCTTCATTACTGGCAGCTGAGGGGAAGGGTCACTGGGAATGGATTTGCAGGGCCCTCATTGAGCGATCACTCCATGCTGAGAGGAGCTGGCCGTCCTCTGGACACCTGGTCATTAACATTGCTAATTAGCAGCCATTAATCAGGGCGCTCGCTTTTTTTTGTTGTTGTTGCATGTCACCGGCTCAGAGGAACCAAGTGAATAAGAAGATTGTTTCATTACCTCCACAAGAGGTAGAATGAAAGCAGTTCCCATCAGCTCAAGATGAGATGGATTAAGGGAAAGGTTAGACAACAGTTTGAGATGAGCTGGGGAGGGGGCGCACGGAGGGGGCCGGGAGACCTGAGCTGTCTGCTCAGGGAAAATCAGTCACCTATAATTAATGAAATCTTCTGCAACCTAATTCTAATCACCGTGTGAGCGGTTCTTCAGCGACCAAATTTTCGTGTTTTAAGAGCTTTATTTGTTTCTGTTAGTACAGGGAATTATTTAAGTTATTTTAATTGTTTGATACTCACTAGGCTTTAAAGTTGGGTATTTTCGGCCTTCTCATTCTAAACGCATCGTCTCTGTCCCAAAGATTATGAAGTCATTTAAAATTTTAAATAGTTTTAACTAAAACACTTTTAGAATATCTTTGCTATTTTACGGCTACTTTCCAACCAATGGTCAAAAGTAATTTTTTAGATAATTTATTCTACAGGTTTTAGAATGGGAATAAGAAGACGAAATGGTTTATTCTTACGACTAACTGCACTCAAAAGTCAAAAGGAAGTTAAAAGACTCTATCAATTCGTACGTAATAATACTGAGAATAACATGTCATTAAAAAGGGCTATGGAGTGTGTGTGTTTCTGTGTGTGTGTGTAAATAAGTTGGGTTCTTAATTCAAATGTAATAACTGTGCTTTAATGGGATGTTTCTCTTCTGGAAGGCAGTGCTGCGTGTATATACCATATTACATTTCTCTTAATTTCTGGAAAATGGAAATCTTAGTAACAGGTTGCATATCTCACAGTTGCGTTAGTTGTCGTTTTCTATCTAGAAAAAATGCTGTGAGAATACTTATTTAATTAGCAGCTAGTTAGCTGTTATGAATTCATTATTTTATTAAAATGTGTTCACCCAAGAACTGCAAAACAGATCTTGACTTACGTGGGAAGGTCTCTTTATGAAAGAGACAGTGAGCACCTCACCCAGCTTTCTGCTGTTTTGCTCTGAGTTCTGTGGTGGGTCACAAAACGTGGCTTGCAGGTGGCATTAAGTGGCTAGAAAGCAGAAACTGCCCAAGTATTAGTGTTGTGGCCTCATTTGGACATGTGTAATAAATATATATTTGCACTTTCAAAGCAAAATTATTCATTTAATGTGCCCTACATTTCAAAACAATGAAAGGCTAAACGTGTTTTTTATGTACTAGTTTGCTCTGTTTACGAAGAACTATGAAGTTTTTGGGGGAAGGAAGCAAGTATGTAAAATTAATCTGTGGAGCATTTCAATTGGGTTGGAAATCTGTAATATGATTTCTAGGACTTCATGGGAAAGTTGAACGCTCAAGGGGAAATTACACAAAGAACAGCTGAGAAAAAGTTGCATTCTGGCACAGAATCATGCAAATGGGGCACATTCTTCAGTTTTCTCATGACGGATTGCCTCTGAAACCACTGAGCCAAGCTGCAGCAATGCTAATGAGGGAGATGCATCAATGAACAGTGTCATCCCAGGGGCTTCCAAAGGGGACAAGGGGGGAGTGGGGAAGACAAGAGGGACTTGGAGAAGGAGGAAGGAAGAAAGGAAGAAGAGAGGGACAGACGGAGAGGGAGAGGGAAAGGAAGGAGAGCAACTGAATTTTTACTAATTAGGCCTAGGTCATTAAAAAACAAAACCAACTTAGCAGGTAGGCCGGAAGGTACAGAATGAACAGTACTATAATTCCATCCCCTTCAGATTTGAAGGATTTTAAGAAACAAAATAAGATGGGAAACAAAACTTTTTAAACTATCTGCCTGTTGAACAAAACATGAAATCAAAGTTGGAAGCTAACATGCTTCTGCCCAGAGAATAACTTGTGTGTGGTTTCTTTATTAAGGCTTCCAGACTGCAGTGGAAAAGACTAAGGGATCATCTAGGCCAGAAAAAAAAAAAATTAGCACTGTTTCAATCTACACTTCTTTGTGGTTGCAGATTTCTCGCTTAAATATTTTTTTAATTGTAAAAGCATACATTTGTAGCTCATTTACCAGAAATGAAAGACAGTTTGCTTGTCATTTCAATGGTGCTTTGAAAGATTTTTCATCTTTAAAAGCATACACAAAAAGATTAGTTTTATTTAAAGAAGATTTCTCTTGAGATTAGCAAATGATTACTTTTGTAGAGTTCTGTGAGCAGATAGATCTTTCTTGAGTTGCCAAAACCATTCATAACACTTGCTTCCTTACCCACCTAGTAAATACAAAATTGATCATTTACTTTGCATTTTACTTCTATTCTGGACTTGGAATGCAGTATGTCTCTGGTTGAAATTAAATCAATAGCTATAGATCTAAGGCACTTAAAGGTATTTTTATAAAGAAAAATATATATACAACACAGAAGTTTCAGACCTTTAAAGTGACATTGAGCTTCCAAACATGATGAGTTAACTCCCTTTACAATAACACCGCAGTGACCACAGCCAATTTAGTATTGATATAAATTGCACAGTTTACTTCCAAAATGTCCCAATGAAATGTATTCAGTGCTGGTTCAATCAAAAGTATAGTTAAAATGCATTATTGTTTCCTCTGTGATACCTTATTTTATGAGCATCTAGCTTTTTAAAAATGTAACCATCAGCTGTGCTCCCTGTTTTCTAGCGCTGCCATTTCAGATCCTTTAGCTAGGTAAATAAAAGACTTAAAAAAAAAAAGACTGCTGCAAATTTAAATTATTTAAGTAACAAAGAGTATGTAAGGAACTCTGCTCTAACACATCAGTATAGGTCGATGCTAGAATCAGATCCTTTTTATTATTTTGCTCAATTTCAACCAATAGGAGTTGCATGATTCGGAATTAAAGCTAAAAAAAATCCCCAACTCGCTCTATTGTGTATTACAGTTCATATGGTATAGTTT